CACTCAGAGGCCAAGATGGGTTTTGGTGCGCCCACGGAGGCTGGGACACTTCTCTCTTGCTCCCTGGCTCCGTGATCTTAGGCAAATTGACCTGCCCATCCTCCGGTTTTAATTTGTGAGACAGAATTCTGTCATGAGGCTTCAGTGAGAAACAAAAATGCTGTATGAGCGGAAAAGCACTAGGCAAAGGGCTGATTTACATGAATATTTCTGTCTCTCCCCGTAGATACTGTTATTATGGCTGGAAACAGGTCATGTGAGAGGCAGGGCATGCCACTTGGCCCAGAGGTTCTGAGCAGGGGTGAGATGAAGGGGGGACAATCCCAGCTCTGCCACTGGACTAGCTGTGTCATCCTAGATGGGGCTCTGGGCCTCCGCCTCCTATAAATCTGACTATGAGGATAATAAAGACCCACCTCATACGGCTGCTGTAAGAAATGAGCTAATACACGTAAAGCAATTAGAATACGTTAGATGCTGTTGTAACAACCACTTGTCAACTCCAGGAAAGACTACATGAAGGTACTGACAGCTGGCCAACTCCCAGATACACCAATGAAGAGGGTGACAGAGCTGCATTAGTGCAAAAATCTGAAGCAATATTGTCGTGTAGACAGATGCCTACCTATTTGTGGGGCTGATAGTCCAGGATCCTTAATATCTTAATTTACATAATCATCCTCTGCCTGCCCCACATCCTCCCAACCTTCTGGGTAAGACCTGACTCAGACCTCGGAAGCTTAAGTGACCAAGACCAATGTCCAGTGGGGCCCACCATACGTAGCCTCCAGACCAAGAACCAAGCCTCGCTAACTGCCCCAATTGCAAAGCTTTTGCGTCTTGAGTCAAGCAGCCTTTCATTTAGGCCACACCCTCGGTTCGTGTCCAGCAAGTCGCCCCCTGATGCATTCTCTCGCACCTGACTCACATTCTCAAGCAGGGAAAACTGTTTCTTTAATCCATGCAATTAACTTCCCCTGTCTGCTCTCAAGAGCGAAGACCAAGAGACCACTTGCTACCTGGGGCTGCAGAGACAGAGGAACCCATTTTGGGACAGGACCAGAAGGCTGAGGACACTCCCAGGGCCAGGACCCCAGCAGTGGAAGACAGGGAGGAGGATCTTCTCCATCAGCTTGAATCCCACTCCCTTACTTTGAGCAACTCTAAGTCACTCGAAAACAATTCACTCACCCCCGCCATGCCTCCTCTTTCCCCCGCTACATGGTGACGTCACGTGCACTTTACACAGCAAGGACAAACTCCCAGGCCTCTCCACCACCATCACTCCCCCAAGATTCTCAATGCCTCCGCCTGTCCTCCCTCCGGCCTTCCCAACCCAGCCAGTCCTGAGCCAACAAGTCCCCAGCCACTCCCGACTCAGGACTGTGCCTGAGAAGGTTAAGAAACAGGACTGACCGGTTCCACCCTTCCTCACCCATTCCTAACCTTCCATTCCCCTGGGCTTGGCACCCCACCCACCCATCAACACCCTTCTGCTCTACCAACTGTGTGTCTCACACTTCCCTTCCACCCAGCCTCTGACTTCTTCTCCCTGAAATGTCTTTGATAACAATTCAGGGCAATTCAGCACACGCTACCAGTGAGACACTGAATATACACAGAGACAATGGCCAGGCCATAGATAAAAATAGAACTCGGGCCCACATGGAGGCATGAGGCAGCCATCATCAGGCCAGGAAGTCAAACCACAGCCTCCAGCGGTAAGACCCAAATGGTCAGGATTTAATCGCTAACAGCTGGCTTCCCTAATTGTTGCCCTCGCTTCACGGTTAGGACCAATCAGAGAGCGCCCAGTACATTCCCCTAACCAATCACTTAGAACGTCTGCTGTTAGGACACCACCTCCAGCTTCTCCAGGCCACCAGCCTCAAGCCAGGGGCACACCGGAAGCCTCCTCCTTTGATCCGCTATCAGGCTCTCAGAGTGATGCTGACTGAGTCTCCTGCTGTAGCAAACTCTGTATAAAGAGCCCTTGCCTCTTCCCATTTGGGTGGTCTTCATTTCCCTACCTACCAAATTCCTATTACAAGCCACAGCCCCTGACTCACATGAAGCTTAGTCTAGCAAACAACACCACTAGGCAGTTTGTATAATATGCAACGTGGCCTCAGTGTGTAGAGTGAGGGTGCCGTATAAATGCGTATGCATGCTCGTGTTTGCTCGTATGTCTAGAAATACACGTGCATCCTACAAATGCGGTACATGGACTCAGGCACGGTGTGGCTGGGCTGCAGGGAACTCCAGAGCCTCCCGGGAGGGAGGCCGACTGGGCTGGTTTTGAAATATGAACAAACCTAAGTAGACAGCTGTGGGAAAAAGAGCAGTTCTTCTCCACTCTTCTCCTCTCGCAGAGACTAATCTTTCCCCCTTGTAGACCAATTTCGCTTTGGACATGCTTCATTAAGTACCTCATTTATGGGGCGCTTGGGTGGCTCAGGGGGTTAAGCCTCTGCCTTCGGCTCAGGGTATCGGGGTCCTGGGATGGAGCCCCACATCGGGCTCTCTGCTCAGAAGGGAGCCTGCTTCGCCTTCTCTCTCTGCCTGCTTCTCTGCCTACTTGTGATCTCTCTCTCTGTTGTCAAATAAATAAATAAAATCTTCAAAAAAAAAAAGTACCTCATTTATTTCTGCATTTTCAATGTCTCCATCTCTACTGAATAATACCCTCACGCTACAGCGTGTTTGTGGCTGCTTCCCCAAAACCATCAGCCCAGGGAGAAGCTCCCCTTCCTCTGGTTTCCTTGGATGCTAGACTGGCCCAGCCCTCCTCCCATCTGTATGTGCACCTATCATCGAAAATGGGTCTTTCCCCCAAATCTGCCCTGGGTATCCTTCCTCTTATCAACCTCAAGGCTTCAAGCGACCACAAGTATCCATCATTGGCACACACCCCTTGTCCACAGTCCTAACTCCCTAATGAGTTCACCTCTCCAGAAGCCCTAATATTACCTCAAATTCAGGGTATCCAAAATGACTTATCTTTCTTCCCAAATCTTTTTCCTCCTCCTACAAAACCATATATCCAAGTCACCCAGTCCTCAAGCCTTTGTGTCCCCTTTCTCTTCTGTTCACTGTCACCTTAAGGTCCATTATTAGGTCCTTTGGTTCCCTTTCTACCTTATTATCTACATTCGATCCCCTTCCCCTGCTATCTTTACCATGGGGCCAGTCCTCAGAATTTGTAGGCCAGCTCTTACAATGGTTCTAAGCCTCCAGGCATTCCCTACATTGTCCACTGGAAGGAAACCCACCCTTAAGAAAACCAGATTCTTCAAGGTTGTAAATGAAGAAAAAAATGCCTACAAAGGAGAGAGTCTCTACCGGGCACTTCCACTTCCCCAAATTGACCCAATAGTCTTTAAGTAGTAGCCTTTAGGTAGTTACTTTGTTCCACCATCTTAGCCCAGTAATTCAATGGGATCATGTCCGACCGTTGCCTAGGCTAGAGGGCTCTAACACAGATTCTGAAATAGGTCCCAAGCATCTATAGGTTTTTAGGCACACTGCTGTGGGAGACCAAGTCAGAGAAAAAAGTTAGAAAGCCTACCAGGATATCTGATGTTCAAAAATGGCCCCCCAAAAAGTTGAGTCATCAAAAGGAACACCAGTGGTGGTAAAAGTCCAAAGATGAAAAGAATTTGAGGAAGCAGGAGTCTGAACCACAAAATCGCCCCCTCCATCTCCCTACATGGAAGTTCTCTTCCCTTTCAGGATGAATGATTTTACTAAGAAAGCTGGAGGGTTTCCTTATACCCACTTTTTCTATCACTGTCTGTACAAAAGCCTGCGATGATTTCCAACGCCTTCCCACCAACCAGGAACGCTGACTCTAAGTAACTCGGTCTGCCATCCAAGGCACTCTGCCTTCTGGTTAATCCAATCTGCTTTTCCACCTCCATTTCCCATCCATCTCCTACATACCACAGGCCACAGGCCCCATGCTTTTCCACCTCCATGTACATCACACTGCCCCTTCCATGTGGAATTCATTCATTCTGCGTATATTTATGGAGGGCTGACTGTGCCCTCTGCTATGAGCTGGGATGCCTTTTCCTCATCTTCCCATACCCAAATATTATCAAACCTGTTGGCCCAGTTCAAGAATCACCTCATCTCTAATGCCTCCAGGTTCACCAAGCTAGAACGAATCTCGCCTTGCTCTCACCACCTACACCTTCTCAGAACACTTAGGCATTCTGCCGTCTATTAGGATTACTTGCGTTAAGTGGGTAAATGCCACCTCCCCTACACGTTTGAATCTGTGTAACTCCTACCACATGTGACAGTGCGTTCCAATTTGCTTGGAAATGGGTGATCTGCTCGTCTGTCGCCTCCAGAACAGGAGCTCAATGAGGGCCAGCGGGGCGACCTCACATCCTGCACAAGAAAACGATTCAAGGACCATTTGTTGAACGAATGACTTGATTAAAGAATGCCTTTTTCCTGTAATCTTCCTTGCACTTCTTTCTCACACATTAGCATCTGGTTCTTCACTTAGGTGAAAAAAATTAAAAGGTAGAAAGAAAATTGCTTCAGGTCAAGAATTTGTCGCGCAAAAGCCACAGCAGAGCCGGAAGCGTGACAGCGCAGCTGGAACGCCCTTCCGCGCCCTTCCGCGCCCTTCCACGCCCTTCCACGCCCTTCCAGGCCGGGCGCGGCTCTCCCCTGGGGCTCCGGCTCGCGCCCACCCCCGCCTCGCCCCACAGGTCCCCGGCGCCAAGGGCGAGGCCGCCTGCGACAGGTTCCCCCACCCCGCGCCCCCAGATGCCCAGGGCGAGGGCGGGGAGCCCCTCCTGCCTCGGTGCGCCCCGCCTTCCCGAGCCCCAGCGGCCCGAGCGGGCCCCACCTGCGCTCCACGCCCGGGCCCCGCGCCGGCCTTGCCCCGGGAGTGGGGGGCGGGGAAGCGTCCCGGGCGCGCCGGGCGTCGTCGAGGGCCCGGCGGTGCCTCTGCGCCGCGCCCGGCCCCCGCCCGCACTCACCGTCGGCGCCCAGCGCTGGGTTCGCGCCGCGGGCCAAGCCGAGCAGCAGCAGGAGCAACAGCAGGCGGCGAGGCGGGCGGCCCGCGCCCTGGGGCCCCCGGCCCATGCCGCCGCCACGTCCCTCCCGGCGCGCCCGCGACTCCTCCCGCGGCCCCGAGGCGCCGAGATAAGGCGGCGGGCCCCGCCGGGAGGGGGCCGCCCCGGCCGCTTCCGGCGCCGCGGGGTCCTGGGGAGGTGGCGGAGCGCGGGCCCTTCCTCCCCGCGTGGCCCGCGCGCCCGCAGGACGCTCGTTCGCTCCACGCCCCTCACTCGCTCGCGCACCTGCTCCGCCGGGGGACACGGCGGGCAGAGCGACAGGGTCGGGCATCCTCGGCGCGGACGTTCTGCAAGTAGGGACAGACACCCAGCACATAATGACAGAGCTGACCCTAGAGTCCCGGACCATGCCAGGACGAAACGTGCTTCAAGCAAAAGAGACGAACGGGAGATCCGAGGCTTCTTGGGTCTCAGAGAGGCACCCCGGTGGCAGAGAAAGAGGGGCGAGGGGCAGAAGGAGCGGGAATCTTTGAGGAGGGGAAAGAGAAGTGGGTGAAGTGGCTGGCGTTCCAAGGACAAGGTGAGGGCAAGAAGCCAACGGTCCAGTCCAACCCAAGGGCTACAGGCGACCAGGTTGCAGGATTGCACCGGGCGACAGAGCTGTGGTGGGGGAGGAGCAGACAGGCGTTCCTGCTGCACCGAGGACCTTCGCTTGGGGCGTCGGGAAGGCTTCTAGAGGAAGTAAGCTAAGACCCAGAGAATGAAAAAGACGTGGGAGGGGAATCTAAGCGGTGAGAAGGGCTTACACAGACAGATAGGAACCCGAGAGCTTAGTCTAGAAATGGGGAGGATCTCCTTAGAGTGGGAACAGATGGTTGGAGAGAGGCATTAAGCTTCAGAGGTAAGGAGACCTCATAAACCAAGGAAAGGAGGTTGCTCAGGAGCTGTAATAGGGTTTTAAGCAGAGAGTGACCTCATCAGGAAAAGCTCCCATGTCTGCTCTGTGGGATCTGGACTGGGGCTAGGGAGGCCGAAGACCAGCCTAGGGCTGCTGCAGTGATCCAGGCGAGAGAGGACACGTCCAGGAGCAGAGCATTGGCAATGAAAAGTGGCAAATGAGAGTGGTATTGGGTGGAATCCACTGGACTTTATGATCAGTAGAATGTGGAGGAGAAGGAAAGAGAAATTACAGATGTCACCGAAATTTCTGGTGTGGGTAGCTGGGTGGATGATGATGGTGGAAGCCACTGAGGTAGAGACCCAAAGAGACTATTTGCAAATTGGGGTAGGGAGAGGCTGCGGTGGGATGGGGATAAGTTCCAGTTCGAAGGCTTAGAGCTTTGGCAGGTCTGTCCAAGAGCAGGGCCCCTACTACTTCACCCATATCCTCACTTGCTTTCTCTTTCTACCATAAGCCTGCCTTAAACCTAACCACCCATGAACACACCCATATAAGGGCCAAACTTGTTGTGCAACCTTAAAAAGAAGTAGTTAAAAATAAACTGCCTCAGCTCTTTTGCAGCAGGCTTTCTTGCTCATTATTTTGTGTTCAGCAAAGATAAGAGCCCCTTTGGGGAGTGGTAGAGGGGCAGTTGGGTTACAGGGGTCCATCCTCTCTAATTTAGACAAAGTTTTCGTTAAGCTCAACTCTTTGTGAACTTTGAAACCATGTCATTGTTTCCACAAAGATAGATTCCTTTAGGATACTGTTAAGCTGGCCTTCTCCTTCTCTGGCATGTCTCCTGCAGAGTAAATCAGAAAATTTAAATATATCTGTGTGTGTGTGTGTGTGTAGTGTGTGTGTGTGTGTGTGTGTACACATAGTTTTTTAATTGGTGATATCGGGAAAAATAGCCCAAAACCTTGAAATGGGCAAGTTTACTGGGTATTTTCAGCAGGGTGGTGGGTGTTGTAACCCTTCTGGGGATTATCTAATTCTATAGGGTTGTGTACCTTTGATGGACTTTTTATTGACGAGGCTCTTTTACAACTCTATAGATAGAGATAGAAGATCACCTGCCAGGGCGCCTAGGTGGCTCAGTGCGTTAAGCCTCTGCTTTCAGCTCAGGTCATGATCCCAGGGCCCTGGGATCCAGCCCCGCATTGGGCTCTCTGCTCAGCAGGGAGCCTGCTTCCCCCCTCTCTCTCTCTGCCTGCCTCTCTGCCTACTTGTGATCTCTGTCAAATAAATAAATAAGATCTTAAAAAAAAAATAAAAAGATCACTTGCAGAAAATTGAAGTGCAAAAGATTCTTGTCCATAACAATGCAAATTAATTTTTCCAGTAGAGATGGAAGTGATTCCTGCCAGGTAAAAATACGATAAATCTAATAATAAGATTTTGTCTTATATGATGTCAGCCAGTTTCACATTTAGCAAATTCATCTTATCACACCTAACAGATAAATATATGTGTATGTATTGTATATTCTTTAAATTTTCCTTGGAACCTTGATATCTTACTAGTACTCCTTTGAAGTCAACATCTTGCTGAGGCCCTCATGAATTAATTAGTTAAATAAAATCTTAGGTTTTCTTTTTATATTTGCATGAATCACATTTCTAATATTTTGACAAGCCCAATCCATATTCTACATTGATTGTGTGGCTCTCATGAGTTCTTTTTATTGACTCATTCTGTTGCTTTCTTTAATTTTAATTTTAATTTTTATTTACTTATTTATTTATGGTAAAAAGAATTACTTCTTACCCAATAATGAGTTCATGGAATCACAGAATGAAAAATTATCTCCTGGTCGGTATTTGTCACCAGAATTAAAACAGAATATTTAACCAGTATTCAATTTGCAACAGTGGGATTATTGCTGAGAAAATCTTTAGCTTAAGAAAAATGTTTTTCTTTTAAGAGAGCATGGCCAATACACCATCTTCTTAAGGAGAATTTAGAGAGAGCTCTTTTTGTGTCCATATCTAGATTTCACCAAAAACTTTCAACTTTTGGTTTCAAGACGGCATTGTACCCCTGAAAGTTCTCTTTCAGTAAAGTGGCCAAAGATACACACACACACACACAGACAAAATTAAATATGCAACAGTGCTTTCAAACAAGAAAAGATGACAGAAATGAACCAGATAGCTTTGAGGAATGTATTAGGTTGCATTCGCCACACATCCACCGCAAAAATAGGCACCAAAAGAAACAGGAAGTAGAGTGAAGAAGAAAAAAAAAAACATGCAATTAAAATTTTTTAAAATTATATGCGTATTTGGAGTTATTATTTGTACATATTAATATAATGTGCAGATTTTATAATGTTTTAAAATTTAAATCAGAACCATTATGTAAGAATTGTTGAAAAAAATGCAAAGTACACTTCCTACCTATTCAAAGCATTTTATTTTGCTCATCTGTGGACATCTTGTTCATTACCATCAGCTCCTTCTTCAGGCTTCAGGCTGCCCAAATACCAGTTTCCTGGCTCTCCAAAGCAACCAGTCAATTTCTACACATTAAAAAATATCATTTTAGAGGGTGCCTTGGGTGGCTCAGTCAGCTAAGCAACCAATGCTTGATTTTGGCTCAGGTCGTGATCTCAGGGTCATGAGATTGAGCCCTGTGTGGAACTCCCTGCTGGGCATGGAGCTTGCTTAAGATTCTCTCTCTCTCCCTCTGCTGCAACCCTGGCTTGTGCTCTCTCTAAAAAAAAATAAATAAATAATAAAATAAAATTCTTAAAAAGCCATTTTATTTTTTATTTTCTAAAAATTTTATTTTTCGGTAATCTCGATACCCAGTGTGGGGCTCGAACTCCCAACCCTGAAATCAAGAGTCACACGCTCTACTTACTGAACCAGCCAGGTGTCCCTAAAAAAAATAATTTTAAACTTCACTTTTTAAAACATTTTTTATAGGGACACCTGGGTAGCTTGGTCCGTTGAGCATCTGACTCTTGATTTCAGCTCATGTCATGATCTTAGGGTCCTGAGATGAAGCCCCAAGTTGAACTCCACACTGGGCATGGAGCCTGCTTGAGATTCTCTCTCTCCCTCTGCCCCCGCCCCCCACTGCTTGCTCACATGTGTGCGCGCTCTCTCTGCCAAAATAAATATTTTAAAAAGCTTTTTATAGTACTTTACTCATGAGAGGGCCTTCGTATAGTTAGACAAAATGTTTAAATCACAACTAAAATATTGAAATTACCGACAGATATCTGAAGTGCTCTTAAGGGACCTCAAACAGGTGTACAAGATGAAGAGAGCTTCTCAAAGAGACCCACAGCAGAAGTATTCTACTCTTTGGAAGCACAGGAAAGAAGTTTCTGATAGATCTAGGATTGATTTGTTCTTGCCTCCTTCATCAGAATTAAGAAATATTGAAGTCTATCTTAATGTATCTTGCTGTCCAGTTGAAACATTCAAGGACAACTTGTACACTTAACAACTTGCATACTCTTGCCATTATTATTCACAATAGCCAAATGGTTGAGACAATCCAAATAACCATGATTGCATAAATGGAGAAACAAAATGTGGTATATTCATACAACGGAATATTGTTCAGCCTTTAAAAGGAAGAAAATTCTGACTTATGCCTCAATGTGGATGAACCTTGATGGCATTATGCTAAATGATATAGGCTAGTTTTTTGTTTTTGTTTTTGTTTTTTTCTAAGATTTTATTTATTTATTTGACAGAGACACAGCGAGAGAGGGAACACAGTCAGGGGGAGTGGAAGAGGGAGAAGCAGGCTTCCCGCTGAGCAGGGAGCCCAATGCAGGGCTTGATCCCAGGACCCTGGGATTATGACCTGAGCTGAAGGCAGATGCTTAAGGACTGAGCCACCCAGGAGCCCCTGTTTTGTTTTGTTTTGTTTTGTTTTGTTTTGTTTTGTTTAATTTATTTCTTTGTCAGAGAGAGAGAGAGAGAGGAGAGCACGCACACATGGGAGCACAAGCAGGGGGAGCAGCAGACAGAAGGAGAAGCAGCCTTCCTGCTGAGCAGGGAGCCTGATGCAGGGCTCAATCGATCCCAGGACCCCGGGATCATGACCCGAGCCAAAGGCAGATGCTTGACTGACTGAGCCATCCAGGCATCCCAATGGGCCACTTTTAAAA